TGCCTGGAGATTTATAAACAGCTGCAAGCAGTACTTCACTATTACCAATTAGTATGCAGACCCCTGTCGCTTCTACTGAATCAAGGGATGGTAGGTCTGCATGGTTATGGGGAATGCCTTTTCTAACTGCAACGGCAGTTCCCGAGTGGCAGTCGATTCTATAGAAGTGGTAATTTGGAATAAAGAACCTCTCATGAGGTCTTAAATTTGTCTCTGAAAACAGGGCCACATCTACGTGTAGGTCTTGCAGCTGTTTACTGAGCTCATAGCGCTGCCTCCCAATGCCGTTTGCATTAAATGCTATGACTTTGAAGGGCCTATGAACTCTAGTGGCCATTTTGTTTCATGAGGTTTAGTACAATTTTAGTAATGGCCATTACTTTGTCCTCCTCAGACACGGCACCATTGACCTCTGTCATAATCTGCTGTACTGCAGTCACTACTCTCAACAAATTGTCGAGAGTACTGCAGTCACTACTCTCAACATATTGTCGAGAGATTGACCGTTTACATGAGTAGCCTGAACTGACTGACCTGTTTCCTTCTGCAGTGCAGGGGCTGGTACAACCTGCTTCCTTGTTGTGGGTGGAGCCACCGGAACATGGCTCTCCTGAGGGCGCTGTTGCTGCTCTACTGTACTGCCTCGGAGTTCCGCCGCGAAGGAGACACCTGGAGTGACGATGGTTGAAGAGAACACCCTCCCTGTGGTAGATCTGGACGTTCTCTAAGCCTTCCTTTTCTGTTGCTCCTCCTTGGCATGTTTGCAACCCCGACAGTTGGCAGGATGCAGCTTTTCTCCCTCCACCAATCGGCAGTTGCAACATACTGGGGTGGAGACAGAGTTCTCCTTTTCTTGGCACTCCTTGTGTAGGTGGCTACCTCCACACCACAAACAACGTGGGGGTTGCCTGCAGTTTGCCCAAACGTGGCCAAACTGCTGACAGTTATAACACTGTGTAAGCACNAACAGGGCCACATCTACGTGTAGGTCTTGCAGCTGTTTACTGAGCTCATAGCGCTGCCTCCCAATGCCGTTCGCATTAAATGCTATGACTTTGAAGGGCCTATGAACTCTAGTGGCCATTTTGTTTCATGAGGTTTAGTACAATTTTAGTAATGGCCATTACTTTGTCCTCCTCAGACACGGCACCATTGACCTCTGTCATAATCTGCTGTACTGCAGTCACTACTCTCAACAAATTGTCGAGAGATTGGCCGTTTACATGAGTAGCCTGAACAGACCTGTTTCCTTCTGCAGTGCAGTGGCCGATATAATCTGCTTCCTTGTTGGGGGTGGAGCCACCGGAACATGGCTTTCCTGAGAGCGCTGTTGCTGCTCTACTGTACTGCCTCGGAGTGCCGCCATGAAGGAGACACCTGGAGTGACGATGGTTGAAGAGAACACCCTCCCTGTGGTAGATTTGGACGTTCTCTAAGCCTTCCTTTTCTGTTGCTCCTCCTTGGCATGTTTGCAACCCCGACAGTTGGCAGGATGCAGCTTTTCTCCCTCCACCAATCGGCAGTTGCAACATACTGGGGTGGAGACAGAGTTCTCCTTTTCTTGGCACTCCTTGTGTAGGTGGCTACCTCCACACCACAAACAACGTGGGGGTTGCCTGCAGTTTGCCCAAACGTGGCCAAACTGCTGACAGTTATAACACTGTGTAAGCACGTTTTGCGCTTTGTATGCCTCTACCCTGATGGCAATGTGGCAGAGGTTGGTTAATCGGAAGAGTTCCTGGGACTTTTCCGTTCTTGGTAGGGTCACAAGGAACAAGGGAAGATTGATGGTCCTTGCTCCTTCTGGAGGTATCCGACGACTGGTTTGTCATTTGTTTGACGTTAATAACGTCAAAACTCAGACTCACCAGACTGTCAGAGATATCCTCCGCTGGAGTATTTTGCGGGAGGTGACGGATGACAGCTTTAATGGGGTTTTAGGATTTTGGGTAGTAGGAAAAGTATGCAAGATTGTTATCCTCCAGGAATTTCTTGATGGCTGAAAAGTCCGCCATTTCTTTTGTGATNCGTGGGGGTTGCCTGCAGTTTGCCCAAACGTGGCCAAACTGCTGACAGTTATAACACTGTGTAAGCACGTTTTGCGCTTTGTATGCCTCTACCCTGATGGCAATGTGGCAGAGGTTGGTTAATCGGAAGAGTTCCTGGGACTTTTCCGTTCTTGGTAGGGTCACAAGGAACAAGGGAAGATTGATGGTCCTTGCTCCTTCTGGAGGTATCCGACGACTGGTTTGTCATTTGTTTGACGTTAATAACGTCAAAACTCAGACTCACCAGACTGTCAGAGATATCCTCCGCTGGAGTATTTTGCGGGAGGTGACGGATGACAGCTTTAATGGGTTTTTCGGATTTTCGGTAGTAGGAAAAGTATGCAAGATTGTTATCCTCCAGGAATTTCTTGATGGCTGAAAAGTCCGCCATTTCTTTTGTGATAATTCTGGTCCCACTCCTGATGTTGCGGAACTCAAAATTGCCATTGACAATGCCTTTGATATTCCTCTGCAACTGTATCAGGTTAGTTGTAGAGGTTAGTACAATGGGAGGAGGCCTACCTGACCTGCTGCAAGATGACTGCTGCTGTTCCTTGTCGGTTGTCTCCTCCTCGACATCCATTTCTGTTGTCCTCAGGGGCGCAAAAAAGTTTTTTGTTGGTACTTCACCCTGGGATTTTATCATAGGGTACCTCGGGCTAGGTGACAGCTTCGGCTTTTTCTTCTGTTCTTCTGAGGGGTTTCGCTTATGCCTTCTTTGCTTGCGAAATTCCTCGGCTGATTCTTCTTTTTGTTCCAGCAGGAGCAACTCTCACATCTCCCTGTGGATGGCAGCATAGAGGCGCAGCATGGCTGTAAAGAGAGCCTTGCCGTTGAGGTGCTTACAGAGCACTGTCCTCTCGGCCTCGGATTTCGTTATTATTTTATTCCATACTGCGCCGTTTCAATTTATGGAGGGTGATGTATGGATAAGCTGCCTAATTGTTTGCAAGCCTTTGCCCAGTAATTCGATTTCTTCCTTTTGGTCAGGATTACTAGTTGTTAAGTTTTCGTGGTTCCTCTCAAAGGAAGCCATGATTGCCTACCAACGCGTTTCACACAAGGTCGGCTCCATGATGATTGTGAGCTTTTGGCTCCGCCTTTTATACCATGCTTGACGGAGGAGCGAAACTTTAGTTGCGATTGTAAGCGCTGATTGGTTAGCGCACGTGATGATCTGCAAGTGGGTTGGACATCGAGTGCCGAATAAATATGAGCATCGCCAGCAATGTGATATTCACTTAGGAGTGAGTGTTGTCTGAAAGACCGGCGAAACAGCGTGTTGTGTGGGATGTTGCCACAGATATATGGAAAATAAAGGAAATGAATAAATGAATGAATGAATAAATAATTATTACAATCACACTGAGTTACTCCAAAGACCACTGTTCACTACAGCACATACTAAGTCTTCTCAGTTTGCTGTGGCTTCACCAGTCATTGCCTGGTGATGGATCCCAACAATGTCCTCTGCTTTTGTTCTCATGTTCTTACCGGCTGGCAACTGTCTCACAACTCACTCATTGCTCTATGTAACTCCCAGGCTGATGGCCATCTCACACAAACTTCCTACTATTCTCATTGCCATCACTCCAACAACTCTTCGTATTGTGCATGTGTCTGTTGTGGCCACTACCTAGCAACGGCCACTGTACAGCCGCTTCTCTCGCAGTTGCTGCCTAGCAATGGGTCTACATGCTATAATATGTTGATATATAAGGCTTCTGGTAATCAGCTATAAACTTAATTTATAGACTTATGTTGGATTATGTTATAATGCACATAATAGAAGGAAAAGAAATGAAGACATATTGCAGCCTGTAGGTATGATCACCTCACAGCCAAATTATCCTATGATGAGTTTAGGGGTGATGTGCATAAATTATGGCATGGAAATGTTTTGGCACTCAGCTGTAATAGTTACAGGTGACTGACTGCTTTGCTCATGCCAACATTGCACAGTAACCTGAATTCTGTAGAGCTTACCCCTTGCTTTGTGTGCGGTTTCCAAGTTTCTACAGGCCATGATGACTTTGGCTCCCCTCCTGGCAAGATCATGGGCTGTCTCTTTACCAATACCTGTGACAGAGAAAGCACTCTTTGCTGAATACTGATTACAAACTGTATAAAGTTAAGAAATATAATAGGGGCATACTAACTATATAACCAGCTAATTCCATGAAGTACAGTCCTTCTTGAGGAACTGATAATCTCTCAGCTTATCAATAAATTGTCTGACCTCTTCTGGACCTCAAAGGTTCATTGCTATTGTGACAACATCCCACATAGCACGCTGTTTCGCAGGTCTTTCAGGCAACACTCACTCCTAAATGAATATCACAAAGTCAAAGTCAAAGTCAAAGTCATGTTACAACTGACGGTCAGTCAGTCTGTCTGTCTTGGTGTCGAGCCCCAGCTGGGGTTCATGACCAGATGTCTTCTTCTTTGTGAAAGTTGCTGTCCTGTCCATTTGGGGCGCCCTCTCTGATGAGAGGTTGGGTCTGTCATTTGTCAGTCTTAGTCCATTGTCAGTATTGACATATATTTACAATTTAATTTTAGTCTTAATTCCTATTTCTATTTACAATATATACAAGGCCTCTGTCAATCCATGCTTTGTACAGCAGATTATGCCCTATTTCTAGTATTATTTGCTACCACGGCAGTCTAGTCACTTGAACGGTTGTATGACTGACCGCAACCAAGTTTAAGCCTCTTATACTTTCTATGTCGGGCTTCACCTTGACCAATAATGAGAACATTCTCATTTTCATGATTTTGTATGACTTCTACTTGTTGCCTGCATAATTTTGTTATGTAATCATATATGTATGGAATTTTGAATGCCATGTGCAATTCGTGGACGGGTGTGTGCCTTGGAAAATTGACAATGGTGCGGAGAACCTTGTTTGCAGGTGCTGCAATTTCACCAGATGGGTGGCTGCCGCAAACTCCCAAGTGGGACTAGCATAAGTCATTACAGATATAATAAGAGCTTTGTGGAAGGTCAATTTAATGTTAGCGCTCAATCGCTCACTTTTGGATAGGGAATGTACTCTAATGAATGTTCTGAAGGCCTTGGCTTTCCATCATTTCTATGTGCAATCTCCATGTAACTTTCCTATCGAAGATTACACCTAGATATTTTGCACTACTTACAAATGGAATATTTCTTCCATTTAGAGTAAAACAAGACTAAGGCGGTCGATGACCACGAGAGAAGTAGACCCCCTGAGTCTTTCTTCATTAATTTTTATATTCCAGCGCTCACACCAGGTCTCCATTGAGCTGAGACTGCACTGGAGTTTTCTAACAATAAAACCCTCCTTGCGATCTGTCGCATACAGACAGGTGCCATCCGCAAAGAGGGCCGGGTGAACACCATGAGTTTGGGGGTATCATTTATATACAAGTTGAAAAGGGTAGGGGAAAGGACAGAACCTTGTGGCACCCCTGCTTGCATTTCCCTTGGCGTTGACATTTCGCCTTCAACCGAGAACCTGAATGTACGGTAAGAAAGAAAGGACCCAATAAGCTTGGTCAAACAGTTAGAGAATTCCAATTTTGATAACTTATATAGCAATCCTGAGTGCCAGGTGGTATCAAAGGCTTTTTCGATCTCCAAGAACACTGCAGCCATAGATATTTTATTGTTGAAATTACGGGTCACGTAGTCCGCCAGCCTCATACATTGCAATGTCGTGCTGTGACGTGCACGAAAACCAAACTGGCTTTCGTTGAGCAGGCCTCTTTCTTCAATATGTTTACGAAGGAACTTCAAAATTACTTTTTTGAATAGTTTTCCTGTCGTGGACAGGAGGGCTGATCAGACGTAAATTTTGACGAAATTTTGGGTCTTTACCGAGTTTAGGTAAAGTTATTATTTTTGCTTCCTTCCAAGTATTTGGAAAATGAGAGAGTCAAAAACAATGATTGAATAAATGGGTTAGGTGAACCAATGGTCCTCTTGGAAGGTGCCTGAGGCATTCATTTGGGATNATGCCGTCAATTCCACAGGCCTTTTTTAATTTCAGGGATTTTATTAATTTCTGAACGTCACATGGTCTGATCCTTTGAGGGGGGTTGTCGTCTAAGGTTTCCAGCAGAGCTTGAACTCTAGCCTCCACCTGCTGTTCATGGTTTTCGTCGCACAGGTCATGTGACATGAACTGAATTTCCAAACAGTCGGCAATTTCGTTGGCTTTTTCAGAAGGATGAAATTTAAGGCCAGAAGAACCTTGAATAGTAGTTGGTGCCTTTGGTCCGTCTCTCTTTAAGCGAGATTTCGCAATGGGTCATATACTCTGAGGTGTGACTTCAGCGTTACCTATTTTTGTTCCCCACTGTTCAAGTGCCCTTTTTCGGGTCATTCATCTGATTCGTTTGGTGACCCAATTGACTGCCGTTTTACACGCTGGATCCCTGGTTTCTTGCCACAATTTTCTTAGCCTCTGTTTATATTTTATCAAACGATCTAGACCTGGTATATCGTTGTTTATAACACTATTAAGATTACTATCTTACAAGGTATAATTACCAAAGTACATGGTACCAGATCCCAGAAAACAGTAAGAGTAATTTCCATATTAACCAACATGAGAACCTCAGATCTCACAGTCACTACCATCTTCACAAGAATCTACTACTGACCCTGTCCAGAGCCAGCTGAATCCACTTCACTTCACAATTCACCCTGTTTTTTAAGATTAATTTTAACATTATCCTCCTATGTGCATACCTGAGTTGGCTCCAGTAATGATGACTGTACGTCCCTTCATGCTGGCAGTGCTGCGGCATATGCCAAGTGTGAAGTATGCGAATAAGCGAAGTGCTGCAACCAGACTGAGAAGGACAGCGCCCAGCACCAGACCACATTGAAGCAACCATGACATGATTCTGCTGCAAAAACACAACAAATGTTTATGGTTAGGTATATTGGAACGTGATGTACAAAAGTGGGGGACAGGTGGGAGGGAGGGCAAACCTTTATATAAAGACTGGAAGATGTAAGTTAATAATTAAAATTGTGTTATTCCTATAGCAAGCTGAATATTTACTTTAGAACGTTTCACATTTCAACTACTTTGACCATTCTTATGAAACTGACTATGATGTAAATAATATGATTAAAATATGTGGGTATCAAGGAATGTGTATGATGATAAACAGAACACTGTAATAGCAAGTATGAAAAAATGTATAAAGCCATAAAGAAAAACAAAGAAACTTTAATTGATGTTAGTAGGGAGGATGTTCTAGAAGTAAATACAGATAAAACTAGATATATGTTGCTGCCTCATCACCAGAATTCAGGGCAAAATCTTGACATGAAGATAGCTAACAGATGGTTTGAAAATATGTCACAGTTAAAATATTTGGGAACAACAATAATACATAAAATTTGATTTTGGAGGAAATTAAGAGGAGTTTGAATGTGGGCAATGCTTGCTGCCATTCAGTCCAGAAGCTTTTTTCTTCTTGTCTGCTGTCTAAAAATATAAACATTAGAATGTACAAAAATGTAATTTTGCCTGTGGTTCTGTATGGGTGTGAAACTTGGAACAGAGACTGAGGGTGTTTGAGAAGAGGGTGCTGAGGAGAATACTTGGACCAAAAGGAGATGAAGTGACTAGAGGTTTGAGAAAACTGCATAATGAGGAGCTTCATAACTTGTACTCTGCGCCAAGTGCAGTTAGAATGATCAAGTCAAGGAGGATGAACTGGATAGGGCAAGAGAATTGCATATAGGGTATTGATGGGAAAGCTAGAAGGAAAGAGCCCACTACAAAGACCAAGATATAGGTGGATGGATATTAAAATGGATCCTAGAGAGATATGGTGGGGTCATAGGGACTGGATTCATCTGGCTCAGGATATGGACCAGTTGAGGGCTCTTGTTGACAGGACAATGAACCTTTGGGTTCCATAAATTGCTGAGAATTTCTTGAATAGCTGCATAACCGGTGGCTTCTCAAGAAGGGCTCAGATCCATGAAGTTAGTTATAAACATATAAATTATCTATGTTAGGTAACAATAACAAACAAAGTAACAGTGCAAAATGTTGAGGCTCTGTACCTCACTGACACATTTAACGCAGGTGGAATCAGTACTTCAGTTCTTCAAAAGAATAAAACAAGAAGTCATGAGAAGAACAAATTGCCTATTTTCTGTTCCCAACAATTCATGTGTTTGATAAAATAATAAAAACACTTTATTATACACACATAATGAAGTTTATAAAACAATACTACAGTATGCTGGAATTACCAAAGGGAGGCATCTGTGAGATAATCTGTTGAAAGCATCTCAGATGGCATGTTTTCCTACCAAGTTCCATGGCAATTGGTTCAGCATTCAAGTGATATTAAGGTTAATACCTCGATGATTTGTGAGGCCGCAGTGTTGGCCTTACTGATGGGAGGGATTTATGAGATTTGCCATTGAGATTGCCTCAGGTGGCATGACATACATACCAGTTTTTATGATGGCCGGTTCAGGGAATGGAGTAATATTAAGGTTATTACCTCAATAATTTGAAAGGCTACAGTGTTGGTGCTACTGATGGAAGGGATTTATGGAGTATGACATTGAGATGGCCTCAAGTTGTACGTGTATGATACACATACCAAATTTCGTGACAATCGGCACAGGTATTCAGAAGTTGTTGGGGAGGGATGCACAGACACATGCATACAACAATGTGATCTCATAAACCTACTTTTATGTTTTAAAAATAAGGAAGTAAAATGATGATGATGATGATGATGATGATGATGATGATGATGATGATGATAGGCAATAATTTAGAGATGAGAAAGAAAAATATATGTATTTACAAGGATATATGTATTATAAGGTGTAATGTGACATTAATGATGATAAGCCCATCTACTGAAGCTCTTGACAGCAGCTGAGGGACAAAGTACAGCCAAACACTGGAGAAAGAATACACATTATTACAGAAGTGAACAAACAGACATAAAAATGAAGAGAAACACAAAGAATGTAATAACTAAGAACTACATAACACAGATCCTTGAATATTATTAACAATTTTAGGTACAAATTTATAAAATATGATTGAGTGAAACCGCCCAGATTACAAGTATGTTGAGATCTTTAGCCACCTCGTTGGCAGCACAGGCCCATCGAGTAGGACAGTGTATATTAGAGGGACAGACATGCAGTAGTCTCTACCACTGCGAGTAGGAACACAAATACTAACATTTTCCAAGAGGGAAGTGCAGGATTTAAGGCAACGATAGGCATAAAAAAGTGAATCAAGGTGACGTTTCCGTTTATGTAAAGAAAGTAGACTTAATTTCTCTTAGGCAAAAGTATAAATTATAGGGAACATGGGGGAAGAAACAATAGAAACAGAGAGACACAAACTTCTGCTGGATGCACTCAAGCTTGTTGGCATCAGTGGATGTGATGGAATTCAAAACTACCAAGGCATATTCCAACTTGGGCCTGACTAACATAATGTACAGCACATGTAAACAATCCAGAGAAGAAAATCTGAAGGTTGTGAAGCGAGTAAAGGCCTAATAGCTTTATGCATTCAGAAAATATGAAATCAGAATGATTGTGAAAATATAGTAATCAAAGAGAGCACCTAGAACCTCAACACTGCTGTTGTGTGTAATGGCAGCTGACAAGGCTGATACTTGTAACTCAGAACATTTGTCTTCCTGGAGTATAACACGCGTTTTAGCAACATAAAGTCTCATGGAGTTAGCAGTGCACCAGTCACTCGTGAAATTTATTTCAGAATGGAGTAAGAGACGATCATGAGGTGAGCTAATGACGCTGAAATTTTGAGATTATCAGCAGTGGTTAAAAGTTTACAAAAGTCAATAGAGCTGAATAGATCATTAATGAATACATTGGAAAGGAAAGGCCCCAAAACAGAGCCTTCCGACACCAGAAATTACTAGGAAATGCAGGGACAGAGTACCAGAAACGCGAACCCGAGATTGTCTGTTGGTTAAATAACTACGTAACCAGCCAACATAAGCATCAGAGAATCCAAGGAGCTTAATGTGTGCGAGATAATACTAATAACAATAAAGTGGGACTAAAATTCTGTGAAATAGGTAAATAGACTTTATGAATTCTGATCGTAACTCTTGTTTATGTCAAAGCACAGCCTAGTTAGGCCTATTCGTTTTAAATGTGTTCCTTCAAACCAGTCGATCAGGCACTTTACTTTCAGACCTTGAATTTTCGCGGCAGCTCATTCGTCAAGAGAGACCAAATATTTGATCAGAGAAGTAAACTTTGCATAATGATCACACACCTACTATACTCATATCTATCAATAAAGCAATTTATACCTAAGATGACATACCAGTACTCGAACACCCAGTGTTCTCTCCTGATTTGGCCCTTGGTCAACAGACTGAGAACTAAGTGAAGGACTATAACGTAAGAAATTGGGTATTCCAATGTGAACCGGACTTAATTGGTTGAGGACCTTATCCAAGCACAAGTTCTCGTGTTAATGGTGTTGCCACTAGTGAGCTAAACAATACTTGATGAGCCTAATCGCTAGTTAGTTTAAATATTCAGTTATTTGCCTAGGCAGTTGCTCAGTTTACTATAGTTAGTTTAGTTACTTAGACAAACATGTAGTGATTTCGTATTTTTATTAGGTAGCAAGATAGATAGATAGATAGATAGATAGTTAGACAGACAGACAGATAGATAGCCAAGTAGTTACTTTTTATTGCTAGTGGGGTGGGACTAAGTCCCTTGTACTGCGGCCACTTCTGGCCTATTGTACCAGCCCCAGGTTATAGGTGAGGGTGATTGTGGAGCAATTGGTGGAATGAAGATTGGCAGGGGAAACCGAAGTACTCGGAGAAAACCTGCTCCAGCACCACTTTGTCCACCACAAATCCCACTTGACCAGACCCGGGATCGAACCCGGACCGCCGCGGTGGGAAGCCAACGACTAACCGCTTGAGCAATGATGCTGCCCAGAAGTAGTTACTTAGTTAACTAAGTAGGTAATTGCCTTTGTTATTAGCTAACAAGTTAGTCTGCTAGCTAATTAGTTGGGTTCTGAGTTAACTACGAGGAGATAGGAAATAGACTATTTTTATTATCTGGCAAGATACAAAGATTTCTGGCTAATTACATAGTTACTTAGTTCATAAAATATGCAATTACATATTTCTATTAGCAAGATCCGTGGATAGTTAGATCGCAAAGTAGTTAAACTGACACTTCATCCAAACTATGTTTGAACACGCAGAGGCCTACTTTCAGTAAACAGTAGCTTCAGGAATAAGATGTTGATTTTATTAGTGTTATGTCTATACAACGTCCGAGTTACCATGTTTATAATGATATATTTCCTGTATTGTCACCCGTCTTTTACTCGTGTTTTATGTATTGCCATGGAAATGCACAGAAACCTCCCAGCGTATTGGGATACATGGACTACTTACGTGTATATGCAAAAGTTGCTTTCGCTCAGTACAGCATACTGACTTCTTAATTTATCATTATATTATCATTATAAGCCACATTTTTTCGTCGCGAATATTTTTGTTTTCCAACGCAGATAAAGCTAGAAAAAAAGGTAAAGCTATCCTGTAACAGGCCTTAGAAGTCCATATTGTTGTGAGACGTCGAGGTTCCCACATTCTCTAGATAATCGGCTCACAGATGGCGGTGAGGCTGTCAGCCTTACGCGCCGGCTGCCCTTTACGTCCCAGGAAGATTCTTGATACTCATTTCTATTAGCGTACACCATAACAATTTGCTGAATATTTTAGTACAGATTGTAAATAAAATGGGACTATATATAATAATAAAAAAAAATCTGTTAGAAGCTGAATCGACCCCAGGGCCATAGTGCGGCTGGAAGAATTAGGTAAATTGAAAAAAAAAAATCCAATGACCTCATCGGGACTTGAACCCGCAACCTTCCGGCTTGTAGCATAATGCCTCATCTAATTACGCTACCGCGTGCCCCACTTCCAACGCAGATAAAACTTTAGAAATCACAAACATGGTCATTTACACACGTAGATTCATTGCAGTTTAAATACAACATAAAGTTTTTAATTCCATCACGAAAGTACACAGACATGAAACCACAATCGTATACACAGTGGTCGTGACTTTATAAAGACAAATAGCCCATTCTTACGTTACATATGATTTCAAGAGTTGGAAAGCCACAAACATATTGTGACATGTCTCGTCAGGTTCCTTCTCAGTAGCATTATTGAACAAATTAGTTTTGATTAGAAGAAGCCACTATATAAGAGAGACGCCCCTCCACAGCATGAAAAATGACAGGTGACTGAGAAGATATTTTATTCTGTCTTCACGAATGAGGGCAAGGATTTGTTTTTATTGCGTTTCGCCTAGCAGAACAGTGTTGTTGTAACGCTGCACTTTCATAGCCTCATAGCCGTAGTGTCTGCTATTTTAAGTGACGTTTCGTGATTTTTAATATCTACACACTGCAGGGTAGAACTTTTAAACATGCTACTGCGACCGCTTTCCAAATCCTTACTTTTTCATCATTCAAGACCTTCCTTCCAGTGACATAATCTTCAGGCAGAGCAGTATCGTCACAACTCAAGAATGAATCATAATGATCTTTCCATGAGTTTGAGTTCTGTCGCTGATTCTATATAGAAACAAAGTGATTTCAGTCTGTGACGAAAGTGAAAGTGTTCAGAGGTAAAAGTAACTTTCTCCCGAATCAGTCTGGTCAATCCTTACGCAACGTTCGAATCCACTGCTCTTCAGCTTGTATGCCATGGGTGGGCTCTGTATTTTACTATTAAAAGGATTTACATTATACTGCATACTGACAAAATTATGAATATTTTATTTTTGCAATTCATTTTTGGAAGTATTTGGGGGGAGAAAAGGAATGCATATAGGGTATTGGTGAAAAGGCCAGAAGGAAAGAGACCACTGGGAAGTCCAAGGCGTAGGTGGGTGGACAATATTAAAATGGATCTTAGAGAGATAGGATGGGATGGTATGGATTGAATTGATCTGGCTCAGGATAGGGACCACTGGAGGGCTCTTGTGAACACGGTAATGAACCTTCGGGTTCCATGAAATGCTGGGAAATTCTTGAATAGCTGCGGATTTGGCTTCTCCTCAAGAAGGACTCAGCTCCGTAAGTAAGTAAGTAAGTACTGACAGCTACCGAGATTCAAAGTTCTCTCACAGCGATCAACTCGAATGTGGCGTTATGTAATGTGGTGAAAAGGTACCAACATTTCAAAGGAACCTGTGGCCTCAATCTTCAGAATAGTATTACTTCCGAAACGTTAGTAGCTTTCTACGTGACTATACGGCGTCATATCCAAGAAAACTGTGACCTTGATGGGGGACTTGTTGGATATATGACCGGAATATCTTCCTATTCGTTTCAAGTTTCATTTGGGAATAACAAGTTGCTTTCAAAATCAATAATCGGCAATATTATTCTTAATATGTTGCTAAACAATATGGAGGATCCAATCGGTGTATAAAGTAGGCCACCATGATAATGTGGTTGTAGTTCCCTTACGCTTCATGATATATTAGTTCTAAAATTATTTAATAAATTTAAAATTGCCGTATATGCTTATAATTTCAAAATAGCAATATATATATATAAGTAAGTAAAACTCCGTGATTTTAGTCATATATATTAGTTATTACAAAAATAAAAATGACGTTTAAGAAACTGATTATGAAGTGTGTGCTCTGTTATATAAGGTCTCCTGAAGGGCACTGAATATCACATTGCATAGAGATGCTGGAGGTGAAGTGATGAAGCAGTTTGTTTGCCGCGAATTTGCGCAAGTTGCTATAAGAAATTTTGAGTTTTGTTATCAATAGAGAAAAAAGGTGGCACTTGAGTAGTTACAATTCGTGCTCCATATTTTTGAAGTCACGTGTTCAAATTGTTATGCCAGAAAATCGGTTGTCCGTGCTGATTTGGGGGGGGGGAGTTATTCAGTCCTTCCGGGCAAATGCCGAGATAGGAATTTATATTTGTCTACGACAACGTACTTCTATGTTCCTTTCAGTTCACTATTCACCAGTCGCCCTATAATTCGCAGCGGCGTAATTCTAGCGATGCACTGTCATTAAATACTCGTAAATATATAAAATATATAAATTAGTAAATAAATAAATATGCAAATATTTATAAATAATAGAGAAAAATAAACAATATATTTCAAGATATATTCTGTTTCTTGGACTGTTGGAAATTCTTTTTTATTATGAAACCTGAGGTATATTGCAATCATCATGAAATCTGCAGAATTAATCCAATTTAAGTTCTAGCAGGCCATTTTTGTAAGACCTAAGTCATGTTTTAATACAATCTGCGTTTAGGCCTTCCGTCCAAATGATCTCTCTGCGTGATGATTTGGATATTTTGAATGCATTTATTGTTTTCTTAATGCATGCCTAATATCATTCCTTATACACTTGATCAGTATAATAATGTTAGGTGAACAGTGCCTACAAAATGGCGCAGCTCCTAATTGTATAATTTTCTCCTATCCATTGTTATTTCTATTCTAAGTCAAAATGTTGTCAGAAGTCGTTACTACTCATGAAGAAAACATCAGTCTAAATGTGTGTATAAAGCTAATATTACTGGCATTGCAAATGCAGCTACAGAAATAGCATATGTTATTTACTATTTAACTCTTGGCTTTCAAATAGAAGTTTCAATATAGATAACACCAAAGCCCATCCTTGGAAACATTCCTGAGCCAGTTATATCTAATTCATAGCCTCATACCAAATCACCGGTTGCAGAAGTTAGCTTTCTTCTTTCGTATTCAGCATAACTAAAGATGTTCTTTGTTATCCTCAGACACTACATGCAGCGGCTTGGAGAGTAGAAGTCAAAGCCACTACCTCTCAAGATATTTTTAATTCATCATTTATAATCATTGTCATCAGAACTTATGCAGGCGATACAGTTGATATATCGTTGCTTTATCGAAAAAAGGAAAGAAAATATATATCGATAGGAACCACTTCGAGAGCTCTATCTATCTCCTCCGTCTCCGAATTTATACATAATAATTTTGTTCTCCCGCCAAGCCCCACTGTAACCTTGTCTTCAAAAGGAAGTGACTAAACAGATTTAAGGCCCGCAGAAATATATATTTCGCCCAGGGGAAGAGTAACTGCGCCGCCATCCTTCGGTTGAAAAAATTAACTTTCTCAGAACTTCCTCACAGTTAACAGCACGGTGAATTCCCCGGGCATTGTGATGAAAATCACCATTGGTCGTGCTGTAGTTCTTGTAAAGTTTTATTTACATATTCGGGTAACATATTTAGATTACTGGAAATTACTAATTCGTCTGTGCTGTCACGCCGGCCCCGAAAGTAAAGGCAGTCGCATAGTCAGGGATTTAAGTCCTTCCCCTGTATAGGTTTTTCCCCATTCCGGACAGCAACGTCATGCGAAAATATGCATTCAGAAGAAATATCTGAAATGAGACTTCTAGCTTTGCCTACCTGTTAACGTGGAGCTATGGATGTTGCCTTCGTGGCTGCAACGAGTCGACTGACTGAAGGACCGACCTGCATTGCCACTGCATGCGCGGGAACATGGCGGCCAAGAGAAAGTTGTCCAGATCAAACAACGCTGCACTTTTGTTACACAGTTTGTTACGAAATCTTTCCAGGTTTAAAGAATTCCAGGAAATGTTACAAGCGTCACGCATAAGAAGCTAACACAGCGGACTTATTTCGTATATGGATTGGCATGGTTTCAGTTGAAGTCAAGAACTATCAATCCTAACTTACGTTTCTGTGTTTTCCTCAGTACTTCAGGAAATATCAAGGCTAATGCCTTCATATATGCTACAGCCGCTTCCTTCCACGTAATTTTAAATTCGTTTTTTACAGTCGTCTTGCACGCGGTAGCGTGGTTGGTTGAGGCACTATGCTACAAGCTGGAAGGTCGCGGGTTCAAGTCCCGATGAGTACCAGGAATATTATTGGAGGTAAAGGGCGGCCGGCGCGTACGGCTGAGAACCTCACCGCCATCTTTGAGCCGATTGTCTAGATATTGTGGGAACCTTAACGTATCACAACCCTATGGGTCTTCACGGCCTGTTACAGGGATAGCTTTACTTTTTTTTTCTTGCTTCCCATTCAAGGCTATACACGTAGTAGAGACGCGTTAAATAAACTTAATTTGCTTGCTTGCTTGCTCATGGAGCTGGGCCCTTTTTGAGGAGCCGCCAATTCTGCAGCAACTCAAGAATTTCCCGACTTTTATGGAACCTGAAGGTTCATTACCTTGTTCACAAGAGCCAATACTCCCTTTCCTGAGCCAGATCAATCCAATCCATACCATCCCATTTTATCTCTCTAAGATCCATTTTAATATTGTCCACCCACCTACACCTTGGTCTCTCAGTGGTCTCTTTCCTTCTGGCTTTACCACCAATACGTTAAATAAACTAAAAAGATAAACTTATTCACGTTAATAAAATCTTTACACGAAATGGGTAACGTAACCAGAGAATCATGTCCGTCTGTCAGTCTGACATGCAGATTTAGATCGCCCAAACAATTATCTAATTTCGATTACATTTGTTAAAACAAAATAAAAAACTCAGTGGTTTTAGTCCGCAAGCGAACTATGCCGACCGAGCGACCGTCGCTTGTCGGCGAAGTTAGTGCCAACTTTAGCGGATAGAGGGTGTCGCGTGGTCAGCGCAACGAATCCCCACGGCCGTTAATTTCGCGTTTCTAGACCGAAGCCGCTATTTCCTTCAACTAGCCCCTCAATTATCCTCACGAGGCTAAGTTGACCCCGTTCCAGACCAACTACTTCTCAGAAAATCTGGTAGTGCCGGGAATCGAACCCTGATCTCTGGATTTGTAACCAGGAACTCTGACAACTAGACCATGAGGCGGTCGATTACGTTTGTTACGGAAGGTTAAAGATTCAAGATTTGTATTTGTGTTTATATCGGTGTTCTGTCCAGTGGGTACCAGGGGATCTTTCCCTCCGGGAATAAGGCGGCAGGGGCATGCAACTGACCACCGACTTCCATCAGACGCCGACGTGAGAACGCGTAGTCTATAATTCTGCTCCCTACAAGTTTACATGGCGTGGTGCTCAGAGACAGTTTACCTTATTTCCGTTCTCTTCTGTAACATCTGCATTGCAGGAAGCTTAAGGCGATTTCTTTAAATCGCGACTCTTCGTATAGAAACTGTGGGTACATAAGGTAGGCCTATAGGTCTCGTTTTATGTACAGTCACTTAACGCATCTAATGTCTCCAAATTCCCTTTCAGCGCCCCTTTTTTCTTACTTATTCTTCGCAGTTTAAAATTCCATGCTGCTTTCGGCGACCTATCTTCCATCCATGCTTCTATTCCTTTATTATATTTCTGGTGCCTCAGTATTTTTCATACGTGTTTTAATTGTTATATTCTGAACTTTTTCGAATGGCTGTCCTTAATTTTAATATGTATGTCGCTCGGGAAAGCCGGAAGGGAAGACACCACTAGGAATACCTAGATATAGGTACGAGGATCTTCGAGAAACACAGTGGGGTAGTATGGATTGGATTAATCTGGCTCAGAACAAGGACCAGTGGCAGTCTCTTGTGAACTCTGAAGTAAACCTTCGGGTTCCATTAAATGTTGGGAAATTCTTGACTAGTTGAGTGACTACTGGCTTTCCAAGAAGGACTCAGGTTCGTAGGGTTAGTTATTTTCATTCTTGCCATTTTACAGTCGCTCCTGAAACTTTTGTTGTCCGTTAAAGTATTTTTATGAACTCTAATGAATATTATATTCCTAGTAATCATTTCTGTTAGAGGCTGATTCGACCCCAGGGATTCTTGGGGGTAAAGGGCGGCCGGCGAGTAGAGCTGACAACCTTGCCGCCATCTATGAGTCGATTGTCTAGAAAATGTGGGAACCTCAACATCTCACAACCCTATGACCCATCATGGCCTGTTACAGGGATACCTTTACTTTTATTTTTAATTTTACTAATGTATATTGTAAAGTAGTACACAGATGAAGACATAATGAAGTACAAAGAAGTATATTAAGACACATATACGGTGATGGTGATATAAAGAATCATATACAACTTCGCAGTAATGTGTGTCTTGGTGTGCTGAGAAATTCTGAAATGCTAATTTGCCGCCATACGGAGAAGTTTGAGAAACCTCTTCATAACCTGTAAGTTCAAACAGCTGAAAACTCAAACTAAACACAATACTTTCCTCTCAGTGATACCTTCATTCTCTTGTAGCTGCCTAACATCTTCAAGGTCGGTGTCCTTCCTGCACATAAAAGAGAACAACGAGTTGCTCACTGAGCAGCTTCGCACTAATTTCACTTGCTTTCTCAGCTATTATTTTGTGATTACTATGTCTGTCGCACTTTACTTCTATTTTGCAGGTTTAGAACAAATGAAACGAATCGTATGCAAGTTTTATGTGAATAGTTGCGTTAATATTTGCTTCAGCCGATCACACTGCCATTCGAATATTAGGATTCAGCCTCAAACCCCACTTACTGCATGGAAATATATACATAACTGACTAAACTATATATCTATGGAGCCCACCCTTCCTTAAGACGCCAACTTTCGCTCGGTTACTCAAGAAATTCCCAGCATTTTACGGAACCCGAAGGATCATTACCGTGTTTACAAGTGCACGCCAGTGGTCCCAATCCTGAGCCAGATGAATACTTCCTACCCCAAACCTTATTTCTCTAAGATACATTTAATATTATTATTCCATCTACGGCTAGGTCTTCCTAGTGGTTTCTTTCATTCAGATTTTCCTGTCAAAACCTGCATGGACTCCTCTCCCATGCGTGTTACATTCCCTGCTTACATCCTCCTTAACTTGGTCATTATCATAATATTTGGCGACTATTGCAAGTTACAAAGCTCCTCATTGTGCAGTTTTCTCCAGCCTCCTGTTACCTCAACCCTCTTAGGAAAAAATGTTCTTCTCAGCATCCTCTTCCCAAACATGCTGAGTTAATATTCCTCTCTTAATGTCAGCGACCAAGTTTCACACCTGTACAAAAGTGTTTTGTGTTGCCCAGTGGAAGTACAGACTTTACGAAAGGCTGATAATTCGTCCAAAGAGTCTTAAGAAATGTCTCAATGACATATCCTTCACTGAGCTAAATTACCATCTGCCTCAGCTTCGGGTAATTACTGATGCCGTTAACATATTGAGTGAAAACACAAATATCATACACATAACCACAATAACTACGCTCAAAATGTTTGTGACGATGGCATATTAATGCAGGTATTGTGTTTTTGGACATTATCCATTGTCCGGAGATAGGGACTAGCTCTATCAGTTGGCTCTAACTGAGTAGGATTCACCTGAAGACGAAGATAAAACCAATCTGCGAAACGTGTGTTTTAAATAAAAGAATAGGCAAATGGTGAAAAAGGTAAATATATCCCTGTAACGGACCATGGAGGCCCATAGGGTTGTGAGACGTCGGAGCACCCATATTTTCTAGACAATCGGCTCACAGATAGTAGTGGTCTTACGGCGGAGAAGATTCCTGGTACTCATTTTAACTAAAGGCTGAGTCGACCCCAAGGCTATAATGCGGCTGAAAGGATTAGGTCAGTTGAAAAAATCCAGTGACATCATTGGGAATTCAATCTGCGACCTTCAAGTTTGTAGCGTAGTGACTCAACTAACTACGCTACCGCGTAATTGTAAACAGTGAACGTCTCAGTGGATCTGAATGTAATTTATGCAAGTGGTATAGAATATATCCAAATAGCATGTGTATCAAGAGTTTTATTCGGTTCACTTAATTCGTTGCAGAGAAAATATTTGTCATTTTTTATGTAACAATGAAGTAGCTTGCAGACAAAGCATGCAATTTCATTTCAGACTGCGCATCAGAAGCTAGACAGGTCCTTCTGAAGATACGGCACGAAGTGATTATCTTCAAAATAAGACCAAATGGGTAAGATCCGATAATGTAAGGCGAACATTTATAACTGTAAATTGGATAATTTACAGACGCTTTGATACTCGTAAATTGAAGTCGAAAAGTACGTAGTGGGGTTTACAAAATATTGGTTAAACTAGAAGTGAAATTTGGGATGTTGTAGATGGAAGAATGGAAACAATAGAAATGAGGCCTCATTAAGACCCATACTTTGGAGTGACTGACCACAGTAAATGCCTCTCCAGTGCGGATTCCATTATACGCCTCAAAATAGATATCAACAACTATTTGTCGAACTAGGAAAATTTCGATTGTACACGGTCTGCCAGACACGCTGTAGTAGCAGACGAAGTTTATTTGATGCCTATCATTGTGCTAATATTTTGCATGATAATATTCTGTTGAAATTTTATTCTAATACTTCTGGAAGATACGTTATTATATTCCACGGTTTGTTCGTAATTATAATATCAGGCAATAATTGAGAATTTAATGTTTGTTTACTTTAAAATTCCATGGCTGCCTTTGCCGACGAAGATTAAAATGCCCCATGAATCCCGCGGTACGGACTTCGTGCTACGGTATTTAAATTTGAGCAAACATTATTAACGTTGTCCACATATCCATTTGCACTTTGGAAGATCAA